AAAAATAAAAAAAAAAAATACCCCGCGCAACGACCCAGTCATTTTGCCTCTGTTTGGGCGCTAATGGCCTTTCGCGGCCCCAGTACAACTCTCATATCTTATCCCGAGCAGAGAGCAAAGTGACGAGGGATTTGGTACTATCCCGTATAATGACACCTAAAAGTGCCCCGTATACTGTATAACACGACTATTCTGGATAATGGTACCTAACGTATCATATATACTGTATATTAAACACTACTATACTGTAAAATGATACCTAACATGTCATGTATGACCGTATATAACGTATACTGTATATAACCTACCACAGTATCAGACCAGGTTACTCGCCCGCCGGCGGAGTTTCTTCTTGTCGTTTCTCCTGGTCAGTAAAAGGCTGGTTCGTCTCTTCTGTGTTGGGTCGCTCAGGAAGAAGGAAAGATCCCCGTCTTCCACTATCACAAGATCTTCTTTTGTTGAACTAGAATTGAAGGTAAAAGCGACACGAAGGAGAGCGTGTGTACAATTATTAGTATTATCATTATTAATATGACATCAAATTTGTTATGCAGTCTCTTCCTTTAAATCCATGTGTTGACAATGATGATTATCAAGTACGTTTGAAAACACTGTCATAAGAAAAGAATTTCATCAGGTTAGTACAACATAGCTATATAAGGATATTGGTATTTTCTTCCACACAACCAGGGATTCTCAGAATACGTTTTGATGTCAGAAGCTACGAGAAAGCTAGGTGTCTGATAGACATAAAAAAACGAAAGCAAGATAAGAAAATTGTGTGTAAGAAAATTCCAATATCCTGTCTACAGAAGAGTTTAATCCGGCAAAAAAAAATTAACAGTAAAAAATTAACAGTAAAAGCATATTACCTGTCTTCAACACTGTCCTTAGTCGTGGCGTTCTTTTTGTATGTGTAATAATCAATGGGACCGATGCACGCCCTGAGCACGAAAAACCAGCTCACCACAAAAAGTGCAATGAAGACTCTGAATAAGAAGTTTAGGAACGTCTCAAGGTCTATTTCGGGGACGCCCGACATGCCACACGTACACAAAAGAATGACACAGAGCGGTATGGTAGGCTATGTACGCATGAGGGGATATCATGGGTGTGAAGGTCTCATGACACAGTATTCATGGGCGATAGTAGTTCGGGCACAAAGTAGTGCGGCAGGGTTCTTGAGAAAGCTGTCGAGATTCCTCAGTACACGGCGGCGAGGTGAACAATGTGGTGAACGGTAGATAAATACGTCGGGTTTGAGACTACAAAGGTTGAACTCTGATGTTTTTTTTCGGTCACGTACGTAGACTGGTGCATGGATACTGGTATCGTGTGCGTCGGCTGCAGTTCATACGACCTCCGCACAGCGCCTAATAAAAACGTGGGCTTTATTTTAGAAGGGAAAGAGCCTATTTTCACGTATTTTGTAAATTGTTCCCTAAAACCAATCATATTCAATTTGTGTAACTTGCTTGTGCACCCTACTACTAGTACACACTTTGACTCGTCGAACCTTCTCACTTTGGGTTCCCTATGTTAATCAATATAGGCTATATACTGCGTTCTGCTACCTCAAACAATCATCGTGAGCTGGAGTAAACATCGCACACAATACCGGGCAACCTTGGAGCAGACGCCTCGCTATGTTCCCGTCTGATTAATAATTCATGACGAGCCAAGCTGTCATTTCATGTCGGCTGAAATCGACACGACGATCTACGTGTCCGTGTTGTAACAAATAGTGTTTGAATGTCGTTTCTAGAAAAGCAACCCACTGAGTGTGGACGCATCAATTTCGCAATTTCACAAAGGCAGACTTAAGAGCAGATGCCAGTGTTGGTTTCTAAAAGACCAAGAGACTTCCTAAGAGCTCCCATGCATTTTGAAGTTTGTTCAATTGTTGTTTGCGAAATAATATGATATTATGTTTCACCTGGCTGTAATTGATCTGGAGGGGTACTCGGTGGGTTACCAGAATATTGATGTCTTTTTGTTTTTGTTTGTTTCGCATAACCGGTAAACCGCCTTTAGAGTACCACACCAGTTTTGTACATGTAAGTACAAGCTGCGTAAGCCACTCACACCGGGAAGGTCCCCAACTTTTTTCGAGGTGAGCTTTTTTAACTTGCGTGGGGTGTGGCTCTCCCCAAACACGGGACCTCCATTTAACGTCCTATCCGAGGGACGTCCCTAACCAAAGGAACTCATTTTCACCTGAGTGAAGTGAGGGAACTCGTGTAAAGTGTCTTTCCCGAGGGCACAAGGTCGGTGACAAGGTGGGGTTCGAACCCGGGACCTCTTGGTTCCGAGCCGAAGATGCTACCGCTGCGCCACACGACCCCACACACGTCGTATGATATAACTGATGCCTAGTTCAAACTCTGTCAAGTTGCTAATACAATTACTCTTTGGCATTTAGAAAAAAAGTATCTACCAAAACCAGAACAATAGCTCCTGCTCTTGAGACTACAAACGATATATGAAATATTACTTTGGGGGTGGGGGGGCAAAAGTTACGTCACTCAGGGGGTGCTCTTTATCCTGATTAAGCTAGATCTTTGCTGTAGCTGCATGTAGCTAGAACTTTGCAGTTGCAGTGTAAACCAATGGTTAGCCAGTCTATTGTTTAAATTAGCACATGTTATAAAAAAACGCATTTGTTGAAAACCTATGATTGGGAATTACAAAATGTGTACGGTAAGAATGAGGGCCAAAAGTTTGCTTAGAAATGTCTTTTTTTCTCAGTCGGGGGAAGGCCTGTAGTTTTATTACTAATTATTAGGCCTTGTTTAAATTCACACAACAAGAGTTCAAAGATCTCATATACCCCCATGAAATATCTAGTGCTTTTGAAAACACTGATTTGAAGTGAAAAGGCTGATTTAATAGATTTGTAGGATGCATACAGAAGAAGACAGAAGCATGCCTAGTGTCTAATATATATCATAATATGCAAAACCAGAGTGATGATTCGGTTAATTATCTACTAGAGCTACATTCCTCTAGATATACATGCAGCAGAATAATAATAATAATAAGAAGAAGAATAACAATACACTATTTTTTTTTATTTATTTGCAAACAAAGTTGTTAATTCATTAGTAGGCATTTCGTCGGTCTTACAAGACCATGAAAGTACGTCATCTACACCATGTACTTATTCTTGGTTTTACGCTCGTCTCAGTTCTGATGCGGGTTGTCAATTCGTACCTAAAGTTGTTCATTACTACTTAACTATCCATCATTTCCGTATCCTACATTGTTGCTTGAAATCTTCCTGCACATCCGACCGTACCAGTGCAAGTTGATGAGTACAAAGAACTGGGAGCAACACAGGAACGTCACCACGACCGGAAACTCCAGGGTGTAGAATTCCTTCGTCATCAACAAACTTGTGAAGGGTATGCTGTCAAAACAAACATCGAGAAGGGTTAAAACAGTCCAGCTCCTCCTATCTGCTACAAGAACAACAACAACTACTACTACTACTACTACTGTTACTACTACTACTTCTACTACTACTACTACTGCTGCTGCTGCTGCTGCTACTACTACTACTAATATGGGAAAAATTGACCATTGGTAATTTTTGTTAATTGTCTAGAAAACCCCTGTTTCTTTTGTTTCGGCCCGTAACCTTTGACACGATCACGTGATACGCCATTCGACTTGACGGTACGCGGGTGCCGGTCCTGCTTTTGTTTGTCTCTTCATCTGGTGTTTTTGCGAATATGGAGTCTGATCCTGAGAAGAAGAAGAAGAAGAAGAGACGATGTTCCGTGTGTCGGCTACCAGTGAAAGGACACCCGGGACCATACGGCCGCGGCAGGTGCACTTTTGAGCGGCCAGAAGGAACCTCAGATGAAGACTTTTTCGGACGACAGCGGGGTAGTGCTAACGTCCAGGAGAAGATCAGAGGCCTTCGGCGGCACAGTAAAGTTCAGGAGCTAGTGCGTAAGGCCTGGTCGGACAGCCTCTCGGAAGACGCGGAAGAGGAGGTGAGGTTGGCTAGATCATACAACCTAAAGAAATCGTCGGATTACGGCGGAGAGAAAGCCAGCGTTCGAGCAAGAAGTGAGCCCCCTCCCCAGGTTTCTCGCCAAAACGCACGTGATCGGAGCAGGGAGTATGCACAAGGGAAAGACCAGCCCGACATACGAGACCTGAGAGAATCTAGGAAATTGGTCAAAGAGGTGGACAAGGCTTTGGACGACTTGTTACATCCAGTTACAAGCCAGGAGAGGAGGATCAGCGACAAACGCCTTGACGAGAGCGACTTTGATTCAACTTCAACATCATCACAGACTGAATCGGGGCGGTCGTCCGACACAGAGGAGTCAGCTTACACAAGAAAACCAGAGAGGCGCCGGCGTCGCAGGGGGTCGCGTAAGAAGAAGACCGAGGCTAGGGATCCGCCCCAAACGCTTTCATCCGACACAACAGAGTCAGAGTCGGGTTTCGTGAGAAAACCAGACAAGCGCAAGCGTCGCAGGGGGTCGCGTAAGAAGAAGACCGAGGCTAGGGATCCGCCCCAAACGCTGTCATCCGACACAACAGAGTCAGAGTCGGGTTTCGTGAGAAAACCAGACAAGCGCAAGCGTCGCAGGGGGTCGCGTAAGAAGAAAACCGAGGCTAGGGATCCGCCCCAAACGCTGTCATCCGACACAACAGAGTCAGAGTCGGGTTTCGTGAGAAAACCAGACAAGCGCAAGCGTCGCAGGGGGTCGCGTAAGAAGAAAACCGAGGCTAGGGATCCGCCCCAAACGCTGTCATCCGACACAACAGAGTCAGAGTCGGGTTTCGTGAGAAAACCAGACAAGCGCAAGCGTCGCAGGGGGTCGCGTAAGAAGAAGACCGAGGCTAGGGATCCGCCCCAAACGCTTTCATCCGACACAACAGAGTCAGAGTTGGGTTTCGTGAGAAAACCAGACAAGCGCAAGCGTCGCAGGGGGTCGCGTAAGAAGAGGAGCGCTACTAGGGTCGGCGACAGGAAGAAAGAGAAAGGCAAACGCTCCCGGCACAACTATGACTCAGACACATCTTCGTACGACTCCCGCTCACGTTCTAGGAGGCGACGTCGTGCAGGTAAGAGCGGTCGCAACCGTACTATTAATGATTCGGGTACACGTCGGGTCAAAGTTGATTGGCCACAACATCGGGTGCATTTCCCGGGATATGGTAAAGAAGGGGGCGTGACTTATGACGAGTTGTCCCTACCCATGTTTGTGCACGGCTATGTTAAGAATGTTCTCGATCGTGATCGTGTATCTACGGACGCAGAGCATAAGTTGGTTCACCTAGCAGATCTTATGTTCGACGCTGTCTACTATGATTGGGTTGCAGTACGGGAAGTTCACGCATCTTTACTGTATGGGATGGAATACGGATCGCTTGCATGGGGGAACCGCGGTGCCTTTGATGCTGTCAGGGAAAGACACTACCGAACACAGGCTAGGGTTGCTCGGGGCAACGCGGGCAACGCGCCGAGGGCGGGGCCTGAGAAAGAGGCTCGAGTGTCGGCAAGCAGACCTCGCTACTGTGGCGAGTTCCAGACCGGGTCCTGTTCGCTACCCTCCGGGCATTGGAGCACACGATGGAACGCCCCACTGTTACACGTCTGTAGTGCGTGTTTGATAGTTCGGGAGATTCAAGCACCGCACCCGAGTCAAGAGTGCCAGCACAAACCACGGCCATTTCGGGGCCCGGCAGACAGAGCAAATCGCAGCTTCGGTAACTCCGCCCACTTCTCCCAGGGACCCGGCCCCGCACGTGGCGGCACACAAGGCGATCAGGCTACATGAAGAGGTATCGGCATTTAATGTTCCTAACTATATTGGCGCTCGTAGACCGGTGAACTCAAATCTGAATATACATACCTGGAGAAAGTTACTCAAAGATTACGAGCACAAGCATATAGTGGATTATTTGGATTTCGGTTGGCCCATCAACGTTCAGGAAGAACTCTATAGTCCGCCTGCAGTTTTGTATCCTAAGAATCATAAGTCTGCTACAACGTATTCTTCACATGTTGATCATTTTCTTTCTGAAGAGCGTCGCCTAGGTGCCATAGTGGGACCGTTTCCAAAGAACCCTTTTTCGTCCCCAGTGGTTTCTTTACCATTACAAACAGTGGAGAAACGGAACAGTGATAAGAGGAGAGTAGTAGTGGACTGTAGTTTCCCATGTGGCCATGCATTGAATGAAGCAGTACCTAAGGATACTTATCTAGGAGACACGGTACAGTTGTCTTACCCATCAGTCGACACAATGACTCAAATGATTTTGAATAAGGGACCAGGTTGTTTGCTATATAAGACAGATTTAAGGAGAGCATACCGGCAGTTGCCAGTGGACCCTAGGGACTACAAATATCTATTGTACAATTGGAGAGGTGATTTCTATGTGGACACTAGATTAGTATTTGGACTCAGATCATCAGCATACATTTGCCAAACAACGACTTCAGCCGTCACTTATATTCAGCGGGAGAAAGGTTATGATGTGTGTAATTACTTAGATGATTTCGGAGGAGCGGAAACTCCATCTTTAGCTGATGCAGCATTCGCAGATTTACAGAACACTTTGGGCAGTCTTGGCTTGGAAGAAGCTCCAGAGAAGGCAGTGCGCCCTACTACGTGTATGACATTTTTAGGAATCAATTTCGATACAGTGTCTATGACTAGACGCGTTCCACAGTTCCGCTTAGAAGAGATTAGACTGCTTGTTAGCGCGTGGCTGGACAAGAAGAAGGCCACTAGACGCGAACTCCAGTCCCTGATCGGTAAGCTCGTTTTTGTCTCATCCTGTGTGCCTCCTGGACGACTGTTTATATCACGTATGTTGGAGGCATTGCGTTCACTACGACGGAACCACCATAGACTTCGCTTGACACGGGATTTCAGATTGGATCTCAAGTGGTGGCAGCGGTTTATGGATTCATACAACGGTGTATCGATGATGGTTCCAGACATTTACAGCGACCCTGACGAGTTGGTTATGACAGATGCCTGTGCCACGGGGTGCGGCGGTTTCTCCAACGGTCAGTTCTTCCATTGCGAGTTTCCCGAGCGGACTTTGGAACAGTTTGGATCAAAGATACACGTGCTTGAAATGTTAACAATTGTAGTCGCGGCACGGAAGTGGGCACCCCAATGGTTTGGACAGCGAATTTTGGTACACTGCGACAACATGGCATGTGTGCACGTATTAAACTCCGGCCGTGCTCGTGATCGGGAACTGTTGCAGTGTGCTAGGGAGCTGTGGCTGTTGGCTGCCACGTTTGAGGTGAAGGCCACACACATTCAAGGTTCCCACAATCGGATTGCAGATCATCTTTCGCGATGGCACCTGTCAACGTATCACTCTCAGCAGTTCAAGAGTCTCACACGACACCAGACCACTTGTGAGATTCTGGTATTCCAGGAAGACTTTATCTTGGAGTGCCCTTATTGACTGTATGATAAGGTTCTAATGCATTTGTTCTGTTCTGTTTGTTTGTTTGTTTCAGCCAGCAAAGACCTTACATTACACTAAGACATTACAGTGTGCTGAGAGAGTATTGTACGTTCCCGTGATGGAGATCAAGAATTCTCCTCTTTGTCCTGTATCGGCATACTGTAATATGGTTAAGTTGAATCGCAATTTTGATACTATCGCAGCTTTTACGAGACCACATAGATCAGGATTTGTACCTTTGACTCAGAGCGTTTTCGATAAGGCTTTCAAGCAGATCCTGATTAGAGCAGGTTTAAGCCCAGCTAGATACTCACTACATAGTGGACGTAGAGGTGGTGCCACCTTTGCCTTTCGTTCAGGTGTTCCTATTGACTTGATTCGCCTTCAGGGTGACTGGCGTTCGGACGCCTACTTGCTGTATCTGAAAGTTCCCTTAGCCACCCGGTTAAGTCTATGTTCCAGAATGGTGACTAGCATTCGTAAGATGGCTTTGTAGTACTAGTATCTTATACCACATCGTAGACCACTAATAGATTGTTTTGTTAGGAGGAGACAATGTTATTGTTACAAGTTGACCTATGTGTTTAGGTCCCTTTAGTTTTTTGCGCATGTTCTTATATGATTCCCTATTAGTGAACTATTGTAAGAAGTAATGATGGTTGTTAGCCTGAATAGTTCGACAGCAGTTATACTGTTATAAGTTGTAACAGTTTTATATTCTTGAATTGTTGTTATATTGTTCCTTCCTGGGTTGGTAACCCCAAAGCAATGTTCAAGTATGATATCATAGGAATCTAAAGAGAAAGAAAAGGAGTAGGTGGTGGTTTTCTAAATTTAAATAACTATGTTTTGCAGTTTGGCCGTTCCTTTGGTGTTTGTTTCGGAAAAGTCACAAATTAAAGCTTTTCCCTTTTTCCGGCCAAACTGTGTCTGATTTGTCTTATGTTTCCTGAGTTTTTGTAGGATAATTTGGGAAAAATTGACCATTGGTAATTTTTGTTAATTGTCTAGAAAACCCCTGTTTCTTTTGTTTCGGCCCGTAACCTTTGACACGATCACGTGATACGCCATTCGACTTGACGGTACGCGGGTGCCGGTCCTGCTTTTGTTTGTCTCTTCACCCACCACCACCCCTTTCTCCACCTGTGTTTGTTTCGGAAAAGTCACAAATTAAAGCTTTTCCCTTTTTCCGGCCAAACTGTGTCTGATTTGTCTTATGTTTCCTGAGTTTTTGTAGGATAATTTTGCTACTATTACTGATACTACGACTACTACTACTACTACTACTACTATTACTACTACTGTTGCTGCTGCTACTACTGCTACTACTGCTATTACTATTACTACTACTACTACTTCTGCTGCTACAACTACTACTACTACTACTGCTACTACTACTACTGCTGTTGCTACAACTACTACTACTACTACTACTGCTACTACTACTACTGCTGCTGCTACTACTAATTATTACTACTATTGCTATTACTATTACAGTAACTACTCCTGCTCCTACGTTACATACATGTTGAAGTCGTAGCGTTAAAGTAAGTCTTTGCTACTTGAGTGCGTACTATCCTCCCCAATGTGTGAGCGATAAAAATACTTACTACATCCTAAATACCAACAGCCAGACTCGCACGTAGGAAAAGGACAGGAAGAAGGCCAAGTTGTTGCACCTGTTTATCGCAGAGGATTGTGGGATGCCAAATTCTTTCAGCAACAGCCTAATGAAAAAAACGTGTTGTAATCAACCATTTGGTAATGACGTCATAGATTTATTCAGACATTTAGTTAGTTATTCTGTTTTTTTTTATATTTTCTAACCTTACCTCAAAATAACAGTTATATCTATTGTATACCTAATAAAGCAATAGTACCAATAGTGTAAAGATTAAATTGCAACACGGACAGATACTAATTACCTTATGTTCAACCAAATCGTGGAACACTCGGTTGCCATGACGATATTTGCGTAGACCGGTAAACAAGGATAGACCTTAAAAACAACACACTGTCTTTGTTAGCAATAAATGAATTACAACCTTAGCATACAAACTATGATATGTTTATTTGACATGATATTCAGAATATAGCGCAAATATGGAAGCAAATGCAAATACTTAATGAATCTACATTGTTGTTTAAATTGTATATATTTGGATAACATTACTTATTCATCTATGCAAACTCAAATGCCGAAGAATACTTGAATGACAAGTGTGATTTTTGATGATGATGATGATGACTGGTTTATTTGCAGCACGTGCTCAAACATACCGTTGCAGCCTTATCTGGCTGAATTAGGGCATGATACAAATCTTTTGTAATTCTTAAAATCGATCACATGTCTATACCCTTAGAGACAAGGTACTATTACTAATTCATCAAAATCAATTCTACAAATATAGGCTAAAAGACAAGGTGCGTACTGCTTAACATTCATAAAATAACTTTACAGTAAAAGAGACCTATTGATTAAAATCCATTGATTCAATCCATAATTTTTCATTAAGCAGATACAGAAAACACGTTTTTAAAACTGTGGTCAATATGTGATTTGCTATGGCCCCATTTTAAGCGTGCTTTCTCCAAAACACGTAAAATAAACAAACAACTCACGCATGTCACCAATGTAGCACAACTGGTGACAACATGGTGCAGTAGGAACTCGACCAATGATAAATCCGTTCGGCCCACATCAGTGAGAGTCGTCACAGTTTCTAGGAAAAATAAAAAAAGACAGACAATTAAAGTACGTATTGCAATGGCGACGATTGAATGTTTATTGTTAGTAATACGTGGTGCTTATATGAAAAAAATGTGTACGGTATAGAAGTTTAATTTTTGTTGTTCTACGTTGCTAAAATAAAATTATTCTTTTTTTTCATAGAGCACAGAGGTTCAGAACCTGATACTAAGTGACGGCATGATGTTGTGTTTGTCATTGTTGAAGCCATCATGCCCGTCTTGCGCAAGTCTGCATCTCAGGGCCTTTTTAATCTACATTACAAGGCTTCGGAGTAAAGCAGTATAAATTCCTGAGGAAACACTAAAAGTTTTCCAAAGTGGTCACCTACTAGGTTCGCTACAGAGGTGTGCTCGAAAAGTAAGGATATATACTTTCATCTTCAAGGTAATGACTGGTGTTTTTGCAACAATGTACCGTGGACCCTGCATTCACCACATTTCTGGGCATGGTATTTGAGTTAGACAAGCGGTGTCTTACCCCCAACAGTGTAACCCAACAACAGTGCCGAGATGTATCGTACAGCAGGACTGTCGTATCTGGAAGAAGAAAAAAAATAATTTACATATATATATATATATATATTGCCACCGTAAGACCTGCTTTGAGATTAACATATACAGGCTGGCAAATGAAATAGGCAGATGTTCTGTACTAATCCTTACCTCAAAACGGTGGTCTCTGCCACAAGGGCCAGGTCCTGGTCGAAATGGTGAACCAGCAGTGCACATGGACCAGCCACACCGGTGTACATTAGAGATGCCGTACTAGTATTGAAGAAAAAGAAGAAGAACCGTTGAGAAAAGAGGAAAATAGGGCATTACCTAATGTTACAAATTGCGTTCCTCTCGTCCAAAAAGTTTGAAACCATGTTCGAGTTATCATCCCACTGGGCCAGATATTTTGTCTTGTATATTTATCTTGTATTAACACCTTTATCTTTTATCGGTTTTCGTTAAGCAGGTATAACTACCACTGTGGCTTCCATGGAGGCCCTACACAAACACATAAACATACCCATATAAAGAATACAGTGATATGTACATAATCTTTGAAATTAGTACACAGTGCTATCAACACTCACGAGGTACATACTACAGACCCCCGTCAGACCAGGGCAATAGCCTGGATGAACTTGAGTTTCCAATGCAGCATTGCATTCTGGCAGATGCGTATTCATAGATAGACTCAGAGATGGGTTTCAACAGGACCTGTACGACCTTTGGAGGGAGAAAAAAAGACTGGCAATGAAAACATACTTAGCCATGGCCACGGTGGTTGCTGTTAGGGTTATTGTTTGAATGGAACTGCCATCATTTCATGAGTTTGAGGAAGACCTGGTACCTGTCAAGTCTAGACAGATACAGCGCACTCCTCCCCTGAGTGTATAGTGAACGAGCTCACAGAAAGTAGGGCCATCCGGGGCAGAGAGGTCTTCCCAAGGGTTTCCAGGAATGTGGGCATAGATGTGGGTCAGAGAAATGCCTGTGGACATTCCGCATGCCTGTGGACAAAATGCCTGTACCATTCCTAGAATTCTTGCAAACTGAACACAATACTGTACCATTAGGCTCCTCCCTGAGACGTCGACAAAAAAGAGAGGGACAGCTGCCATTCATGCTTAAAGATTCAGAGATAAATCTCGTCAACTAGAACTATATAGCAATGCTATATGGTTCAAACTTTTTTTCAGTGTGCTGAAGGACTTAAAGAAATCTGAGTCGTATTCAAACAGACAGGAGTTTTAGAAGTTCTTAGATTTTATTCACCCGAAAAATGTAAATCACACTCTTTACTATCAGTATATCAGTCCATTGCGTTGAAGCTCAGAGATGAGCAAATCAACAATCTACATCAACAATAGAACATTTTAAAAGTTACAAGTACACCTGTAGTTTATAACTTGGTATTAAGAATGTATCATGTAATGCACATGTAACGCGGATATCTTGTGATCTGGTTGTACATGTAGTATTTAAACGGATGACACATTAAAAGTTGTAGATTAAGTTTTTTGTCAAGACACACCAACAACTCCAAACACTATCATCCTTGTACATTTTGGTCCAATGAGCTAGGTTCTAGGCACACCATTCAAGTATATTAATGTGGGTGCAGTCTTTCTTGCTACTAGTCTTTGGTAGCGTGCGTAGTCCAGTGGTTAGCGATCCTGCCTCTGGACTATGGGGTTGGGAGTTCGAATCCCGGCTGATGTCGCTCACCCGACATGCACGCTACTGTTTAGGGTCGCAGTCCTTAGAACGGGACGTTAAGCTGTGATCCACTGTTCATTGTGCTTGTTGAAAAGAGCTAGGGAAATTTCCCTGGTACAATGAACCTGTAAATACTGTACATAGCGTCTGTCTTCTCTGTCACGACCAGTGGAAGATTAGCTCTATCTCTTCAGTGAGCTAAACTGGTTCGAGATCACTTTCACTTTTTCACTTTTCACTAGTACAACAACGTGAGTCTTAAGAAACGGTAAGCAAATCAAAATATTATCAAATCGATAAACCACTCTTTTAGGTTTTGGTACAACTTGTAAGAACGTACACAACAAAACATAAACATCGACACCTCAGACCTACATCTACTGATATGTCGCCTAACAAGACCTTGCAAAAACAAAAACAATAAAATAAAACTAGGAAATACGTATCATAATAGCTTGGTTATCTTGAAAAAACTTTGTTAGTTGTTCATAAAATTGAATACCAAATAGTTGTTCATAAAATTGAATATCAAATATGTAACTTGTAAAGTACACTGTTACATGTTAACTTAATTTTTTTTACAGAATAATTACAGAATAATTCAAATCATAACAAATTCTTGATCATAACAATAATCATAACAATAATTCAAATCATAACAAATTCATTGATCATAACAGTTGTCATAACCATAGTTCAAATCACAACAGATCATTGATCAAAGCCATTGTCATAACAATAGTAAAGTGCTGAAATGCTAACTTAAAAATGTTTAAGTGAACACTGATGTGCTGTTTTATGTCTTTAAGAGACTTACAATTATCCACAGAGAGACTCAGGGATAGCAGATGAGTTTGCCCAGGGTGTGATAGCCTTCTTCACTATCATGACCGATACCGGTATCCCCAAACCTGAGCTGGGTGACCGGCAGGTCATTCTTGTGGGACAGGAATCCAGAATCCTCACGCCACGTGCGATCATTGGCATCACAGTTGCATCTACCCCGGCATGTGCCTGTTGGACAAAGAATTAAGGTCATGCAGAGGTTTTGTTTGTGGTACGGGTTTAAAATATGTGGGTTAAAAGAAGAAAAAAAGTATCTCCACATTCTATTATTTCTCAATTAATCATGTAAAAACGATCTAGCATTTGACAGGAAGAAACAAAACATTTTGATAATGTATATAAATATATAAAGGTATATGTATATTTTCTGATCATGATGGTGATCCTGGTAATGATAAATAGTGCCCTTGTAGTCTTGTACTGTTCCGGCTAAAATGGAATAAGCTTGTATGTTTCAGCTTGATGATTTATGATTACCTGTTTCACCGCAGGCACATTTCCCGCTCCCAGGACTGGCACCTCCCCAGTAGTCAGCCTGGCGACCGTCCCAAGTCACCCACCAGGCATGGGGTCTTCCATTCGACTCCCAGATGAATGAACCATGGCATTCATACTGGAAAACGTGAATTTGTACAATTCTGAGATGAATATCACCATGGCCTTTGCAATATCAAAGCGTAAGTATCATTATACAGCAACAGATAATGCCTGGAGTGGGATATTGTATAATTGTTTAAAAACAAAACATCTGCCTGTCATCCTCACTAAGCCCTGTTCAACTTGTGCCCCACTGGTACTTGTTGGAGGGGTTCTGAAAGTTATTGACTTTTCATCCGAGGTTAGGCCATGTTGATTTGATTATATGGATGACATCCTCCGGGAGCCCCAAAACTGATGCGCGCGTGCGAATAAAAAAAAGTTTTGCAAAAAAAAAAAAGTTCTTTTCATTATGAAATCTACGGGGTCATGAGGGTTGAGCAAATGGCACAGAATATGGTTTGGCGAATAATGTAGTCTTCAAGTTCATTTCTTTACAATTTCGTCTTTTTTCGTTTGATTTTGGCATTCTACGACATTGGTATAGTTTTTATTAATTTTTTTGTAACTTATGGTATGTTTTTGCTCATTTTGCAACTGTTTTGTACGATTTACAGTATGGTTGAAAACTTTGTTTTTTTTTGGAAACGGCCGAAAATTCATGCGCGCGCGGATGTCATCCATATAATCAAATCAACATGGCCTTATCTCTCAAAAAATGCCTTCCGGGCAGTTTGATAGCCAAGATTTGAGATAATTTGGAAAGATTAAGCACGACTGCATCATAGGCTCACATATGGTGTGTCTGGAATGTAGTTATAAGGCCACACCAATTTAATTGGTTGGTTCTCTGATTTTTTCAGAAAAATATGAAGCGACAGGGCGGAAAGAAATAAAAATAAAAACAGGTCTAGGCATCCTATTATAGCCCAAAATGCTACGATACGAGCCATGGAGTCAACACAAAAGACTGCTGGGTTAAAATTTAAACTATAGATTTTGAACTTTTAATCACACCACTGCATTGATAGATGGAAGGAAAAACTGTAACAACTAGGAAGAAAAGGACTTTCCTCAACAGGTGGGGGCAAAACATGAGCATTTTTGACTTGACTTTTTTTTTTTTGCAAATCATAAAAAATGAAGAGGCGAATCCGAGAACCAACAAATCAAATTGGTGTGGCCTAAACAAAACGTACCTTGATTAGCTGTTTGCATCGCGATGACTGATTCACCACAGCTCTCACTTGCTCCAGGCTGTTCCAGTAGGTCACATTCTTGGAGTAGCTGCCATGACCTTCAAACCCTTTCACATGTGT